TGTTTCTATCTCTCTCTCCCTCTCCCTCTCCCTTCCTCTCTGAAGCGAATAAAAATATATATTTTTAAAAATCAATGTATTTTTTAAATTTAAATTTTTATTGTATTGCATAGTCAACTTTTCCCCCATTGTCCTCTCCCCAGCCGTTCCCACCCCCAGCACACGCCCTCACCCCACTACTGTCTTGTAAGTTTATATGCATGCTTACAAGTCCTTTGGTTGATCTCTTACCCGCTCCCTCTCTCATCCCCCCATCCCTGCCTCCCCTCTGAAACCACACATCTCCCTCCATCTGCAAACAGAAAGCCCTCCCTCAATCAGTGCTATCAGGCAGCAATTCCACCATTCGACTGATGTTCATTCCTTGGGCTGAGGTGACGCCCTTTAGATAGATGGATGGGTGGGTAGAAGGTAGATGGGTTGATGGATGGATAGATGGGTGGATGGATGGGGGGATGGATGGGTGGGTGGATGGGTGAGTGGGTGGATAGATGGGTGGGTAGATGGATGTACTGGGTGGCTGATAATCACTGCTGAAGAGGCCTGGCTTCTATTGAATTCCTACACCCTCTGGGAGGCAGGTCATTCCAACTGCAGGAAGTTTTAACTATGGAGGAGAGAAAAATAGATCTAGTGGTCCTAGGGCACAAACCAAAGGCACATGTGACAGTAAATGTCATGCTTTCCACGCTCCTCTGACCTTCCAAGAAATCACAGGAGCTGTTGCTCAGAGACTGATGGTTGCTAAAAATGCAAACAGATGCAAAGAGGGTCGGTTTAGCATAAAACCACAAAGCCCAAAGGGGCCACTTGGGGCCTGAGAGCCTTGTTTCACCCGTGGAGGCGGATGTCTTAGAGGACAATTCGGGGTCCCTCAGAGCTGATACCTGGGCAGGCTGCACCTCTGGGATTCTGGGTGGAGGCGTGGCTGAGGCTGAGTGGGTGGGAGGAATGGGAGGGAAGGAGGAAAGGGGAAGGAAAACGGAGGGTGGGTGGAGCAGGCCACAGCCCTGCCATTTACTCATAGCCTTAACCTCCGCCCACTGAGGGCCTGGCCCAGGGCTGGCTGAGCAGGGCTGAGAGCCCACAGGGCCGCCCAGCCTGAGAAATGACCACCGTTCCCCGCTCAGAAGCCCCACGGACACTGCAGCCTTCTCTTTTACACGACTAGCAACTGCTGTTCCCCCTTCTATTTTCTTATTAATCCTCACCAGAGGATATGTTTTCCATTGATCTTTAGAAAGTGGAAGGGAGGGGTAGAGACAGAAAGAGAAACATCCATGTGAGAGAAACACACTGATTGGTTGCCTCCCGCACGCTCCCCAACCAGGGCCAGGGATCGAGCCTGCAACCGAGGTATGTGCCCTTCATCAAAATCAAACCCGAGACCCTTCAGTCTTTGGGCTGACGCTCTAATCATTGAGCAAAACCAGCTAGGGCCGTTCCCCATTCTTTATCTGGCTGGTTCCTATTCAATCTCCCATGCTCCGCTCAGGTGTGACCTCCTCCAGGAAGCCTTCTCTGACTGCACAGCCTGAGTAAACAAGCTCCCATACCTTCTGGGCTTCTCACCATTTCAGCATATGTCAAGCAGTAGTGACATGGCCGTTGATTGGCCCAGTTCCCCTGCTAGTCAGTGAGCTCCACCAGCACAGGGTCTGTGTCGGGCTCTGTGCGGTGTCCCCAAAGCTCAGTGGAGTCTGACATCTAGGAGGTGCTCACTGGACTGCCCAGTGTACACCCCGCAGGGCTGGGTTGGGGGTGTGCAATAGGCCCCTGGGGCCCAGAGACCGCCCAAGAGTGACTCACCCTCCCCCAGCTGCAGGGCGGGGTCCATGAGCTCCATCATGTACTCCACGTTGAGAAGCATCTCCGTGAGGTTGCTGCGGGCCAGCACGTACATGAGCACGGGCAGGAAGTCGTCTGCCCCGTAGGGCTTCCCTGGGAGGAGGAAGGAGGCAGAAGGTGGTGAGTGAGAGGTTCTCCCTGTGAGCTACCCCCTCCCCAGGGGGAGGGGCCAGTGGTTTTCTGGGTAGCGGGTGGTCACTGCTGGAAGAGGAACCTTCCCGCTTTCTTATGACTCTCAGGACGGGGGCGACCCTGGAATCAGACTTCAGGGGGTGGCCTGTGACACAGTCCAGGCTTGGGAAGAAGGAACTGAGAAAGGTGCCCTCCGCCGGGGCGGGCAAGACCCAGGCCCTTCCTCTTTCCACTCTTCCCCTCAATGCCACTTGCTGCCTGACTGGCAGTCAAGTTCACACCACGCGTCTCCACGGGCCCACCCAGAAGCACCTGCCTGTCTGACGTTGATGTCTTCTGGGAAGGCTCCCTGCCCCCCGCCCCCCTTTTAGGTATTTTTAAAAATTCTTTATTGTTGAAAGTATTACATATGTCACCTTCTCCCCTATTGAGCCCCCCCCCCAGCCATTCCCACCCCCAGCACACGCCCTCACCCCACTACTGTCTTGTAAGTTTATATGCATGCTTACAAGTCCTTTGGTTGATCTCTTACCCTCTTCCTCTCTTATCCCCCCACCCCTGCCTCCCCTCTGAAACCGCACATCTCCCTCCATCTGCAAACAGAAAGCCCTCCCTCAATCAGTGCTATCAGGCAGCAATTCCACCATTCGACTGATGTTCATTCCTTGGGCTGAGGTGACGCCCTTTGCAGAGGGTTTCCTTTAAAATGTCACGCCTCCAAAAGGGAGCGCTCCTCCCTGCTGCTTATGCGGGAGATGTTCACAGGGCGCGAGCCTCTCCGCAGGAACAGAGGCCTGGGGGAAGAGAAGCGGCTGGAAGGGGGGCCTTCCCAGTTGGGCTCTGAAGACTGACCATAAGGCAACACAAAAATAAGAGGTGGGACCCGGAGGGCAGGGATTCCTCCTGGAGCTCCCCGTTGGTCTCTTAGCCTGAATACAGGTGCCCTGGGGACCAGGACCACTTGGCGGGGCAGCTTTGCACAGTGAGGAACGGCCACTGGGCTCCCCAACTCCCTTCTTGCCTCCTCTCACTAAAGGGCTCGGACAAAGGTCTCCAGACTCAGAGCTACCAGGCCTGGGCATGGCCCCAGAGGATCATCCAGGACTGCTGCCCGCTGTATCTGGTGGGAGATGAATAATCAGTTCAAATACACACCAGGCAATCTACACTTTTCTCAAAAAGGTAGTTCTACGTGGCATGTTTTACCAAAGGTTTAGGTGACCCATCAGGAAATGCATGATAAAACAGTAAAAATCTACAATAAAAATGTAAACATCAGGACAAACATAGATTACAAGAGGAATTGTGCATCAGAGGAAAAAGCAAAGACACGCATAAGCAAGAAGTCACACAACTGCTCCTTTGGAGCCACCAACCTGGCTTTTGAGTTTCCTGGTGGCCAAAGTGAAAAGGGAAATACAATCAGCTACATTCTTCTCAGTGTCCCTGAGAAAATACACCTGTTTCTTGGGGTGGGGAGGAGGGGGGGCGGTTAGGGGGGCAGGGAAACCAAGTTATTTTTCTAAGCCTGAGGACAAAAATGAAATGTTCACATGTGGCTTCATTTAGGGCAGTGGTTTTCAACCTTCCTAATGCCGTGACCCGTTAATACAGTTCCTCATGTTGTGGTGACCCCCAACCATAAAATTATTTTCGTTGCTACTCACAACTGTAATTTTGCTACTGTTATGAATTGTCATGTAAATATCTGATATGCAGGATGTATTGTCATTGTTACAAGTTGAACATAATTAAAGCATAGTGATTAATCACAAAAACAATATGTAATTATATATGTGTTTTCCGATGGTCTTAGGCGACCCCTGTGAAAGGGTCGTTCGACCCCCAAAGGGTTGCGACCCACAGGTTGAGAACCCCTGCTTTAGGGGGACATGGTTGGTGGGTTCCCATAGCACACGTGAGGACAGGTTTCAACTAGTGATTCATTTCGTTGCTTCAAGGCATGCACCTCCAGGGAGGAAAACAAATTTCCCAGTTGACTGTGCGTGCACACATCATTCCTCACAGCAATCACACAGAGCGGGTATTTTGCCCATCTTCCTGAAGAAGAGACTGAGGCTCAGAGCGCTTAAGTGACTCTCCCTTGGCCACACACCTTATGAAGTCGAGAGAGGGACAGTGAGTGGTGTAGAGCCAGGCTCTGGCCGCAGGCCCAGGTTCAAATCCCAGCTCTCCCATTCACTAGCTGCAAACCCGGGGACGTTCCTGCCCTCCTCCAATCTGGGCAGAAAGGTTGGAGAATGAGGTGGAGATTTGAGAATTAAATGAAACCATGTCAGCGGTTAGTGCTTTATTGGGCCATAGTGGGGCCTGTGGCAACAGGAACATATGTGCTCCTACAGCCACTTATCAAAATATCCCCTCGTATTTTGAACCCAAGTGGCAGAAGTTAATGAAAAAACACGACTGCGTATCAAACCCTGGTCAAACATCTGCTTGCATGCCATTGTCAGCCCCCGCAAACTCACACGAGCCCAGGAAGTCACCAGCTGATTGGAAATGACTGTTCCTGTTGTACAGTCACACAGGCCACAAAACAGACGACACCCTGCCTTTGCTTAAAAAGGTCGATGATTTGTTCATCGCAGATTTTTGTGCACTAATTTTTATGTTTTTAAATACTGAATTAAACGATTACTCATCTTAACATTTGACCCAGTAATTCCACACCCGAGAGAAATGTTCACACACAGACTTTTACTCACACAGCCATAGCAACATCATTCATAAAAGCCCACAGGCAGAAAACAGCACAAATATTTATCGGCTGGTGAGCAAACAGACAAAATGTGGTCGATCCAGACAATGGGACACCCGCTGGCCATAAAAAGAACACACTACTGGTACATGCTCCGACACCGATGAGCCTTGAAATCATTATGCTACGCGAAAGGAGGAATCCCCGAAGACCACATGTTGCACGTATTTGTATGATTCCATTCATATGAAATGTCCAGGACCAGCAAATTCAGGGAGACAGAAGCGGATTAGTGGTTGCCAGGCACTAGGGGGAGGAAGAGATGGGGAGAGACTACTAATGGGTACGGAGTTTCTTTCAAAAAAAAAGACAGGAGCTCAGTTTGAATATCCCACCCCCTCTGGGGATCGCACCCCGAGAAGCACGAACCAGCACCGCCTCAGTGGGCTCTGCGTGGACACGGGTGTCTCCATAGTTCCACTCATCCTGGTTTGCTTTCCAGAGAAAGGTGTGCCTGTGGCCTGCCTTCCTGGCCACGCTCAGTTTTTTTTCTTCTTTTTTCCTGGCCACACTCCGTTTTTACATCTGCAACATGGGGCCAGCAACACCGGCCCTGATGGTCTTTCAGGTTTTCAAAAGAACAAAATGAGGAAAATAATACGGATGTGATTTGGAACCCGTAAAGTGCCATGGAAAGGTGAGCTCTTACCGACACCCATGTTTCGTTTTCTCGGGTGGCCCCAGTTCTTCTGCCTGTAAAATGAACAGGCTGAAGGGGCTGGTAACACAGCACTGACCAGCAGAGGCAGGCAGACCCGCAGCGAGTCCCAGCACACCGCTACCTAGCGGTGTGACCTTGGGCTCATGGCTTTACGTCTCTGAGCCTGCGTTTCCAATCACCGGTGAACTGACACAGAGAACATGCTATCCCAGGGGGTTTTGGTGAGAATCCCATGGGCCGCTTTCCACGGAGGGCTCCCACCAAGCTCCCTCGGAAGCACCCGCTAAAGAACATTCACGATGCAGCTGGGTGCAGCGACGCTCCCTGAAGATTTGTTCCAAGGCTCCCGCGCCCTCCCGGCGCAGAATCGGCCTGCGAGGGAGAAAGTCTTCCCATAAACCTCTAGGAGCCGGGACACGACCGATCGGTTCCCAGGGAAAGGCTGTTCAGTGCCCGAGGTTGTTTTTCATGGCGATAATGGAAAGATGAGCATCCCGGCATCCAGGAAACTCATTTCCTGATTGAGTTCTGAGTTAGGAACAAGGA